TTGGCGTTCTGGACAAATCTTGGAACTCACTACAGGCTGTGTTCTAATCAACTTCTTAGAAGTTCTTCAAGCCGAAACCTGATATATGCTTAAGGACTCAAGAGAGCATTTCGTACTAATTTACCAGCACTTCTCTTCCAGTTATTTCATACTACCTCTGTCCCTACCTTACGTGATCGGCAATATACTATCACTTGGCACGGAAGCTCGTTAAAGGAAAGCTTCTTCTATTCCGTTCACGGCCATTTGAAAGTGATGAAAACTGTTGTTTTTAATATTCTTTAGACATATATACATAGTATTTATAGTAAGAACTAAACAATAATTCAGTGAAATTTACTGGGAAATAAGCCACTTAAAGATGATGCATTCAGCATCCACCACGGCTTTGATCAGCTTCTAAGATCTGTGAAATGCTGCTTTCAATTACTCCAAGAAATAACTTCAAATACCTAATAAATCTGATCAATTAGATAACCCGTTACAGTGTACTTAATATGGTCAGTATTTTTCTCAACAGTCCATCAGATTGTAATGAGAAATTAGGAGACCAAAGGTCGAAGCTGAAAAAATCTTAACAATTATCAGTCAACCATATCTAAGTCTTCTTCTAAGTAGGGTTGACTAGTGAATCTTACTCCCACAAGGACTTCTAAAGGTTATTATCACAAACAAACGATTCATCACGGCCTTCAAGATCTCCATATAACCATAAGTTAAGCCTAGAATAATACCAAAAAATAAGAGGTGTATAACTTTATCCTCAATTTAGGGGAGAACATCCTTGGCATTGTAGTTGGATTGTCTGTTATTCTTAGTGTTGTGTGGCTACTTCGAACAATTCTTTCCATCAGCGAGAAGCTATGCTGTTGCCGGTAAACAGGTCGTTCTAATCCATTAAAGTTTCTTCGCCTTTGTCAAGTGATCATCCAGAATTATTCCTGCAACAATTTGACTATTAAGCCCCTAGTACGAATATTTGCGACATAGCTAAGCGAATAAAACTGTTTGCAATTGACAACAGATGACATATTGACAAGTTTCTATTTATCTCCAGTAGTTTACTTCAGTATTACAAAATCAATCTAGTTGAATAACATAGGTTAGACATTTACAACAAGAATTTAATGTGTATTGAAGAAACAATTTTTTCCAAATAGATATTCGCTCAAGGTATTAGAGATTACCATAACTTATGAAACAAAGAGGACTAAACAACTGCTTGATCATAGCCGCTGTTCACAAAAATCTATATACGAGACAATATGAATTTATTGGAGTTGGAAACAGACCATTTGATTTCTACTGGCCTGTCTACAACATCCATGGGACTCGCTGAAAGGACTATACAAGCTAAATGTTCTAGTTTGCCAAGGAGCCTCAGATTAATAAGTAGATGTCTGTTGTCACATACTTTAAGGAGTTTACCAGTTGGTGTTAGTTATTAATGACTACAAACTATTTACAGATTAAGGCCACTTTAGAAAAACTGTTAGCGCAGATGTAAAACAATAACAGAAAATAGTGCCTAGCGCCATTAGACGTTTAGAAGTTGTAGAGAGAAATCAAAGATTTTAAAAACATTTTATGACAGACATTTATTTATATTTACAAGCAAATTTTGCATAAGTTGAGTAAAATTCATGATTTACTGATCTGAAGTTCCTTACTTGGATTTTTCTTAATTAAATTGTACTACTTATATGACATCTACAGTAAAACCAGTAAGAACGAGGTTTTATATGTACAGAACTTTTGTAGATAAATTTTTAAAAAAACAAGCAGTTTGCAAAAATTAGAATTTATTTTATCTCTCATTTAAATCAGTCTATTTGATCCACTTTAATATATTTTCTTTCTTTCCAACTTTATACAAACTATTTTAAAGATTAGATATGAAATCTCATTTAGTCAGTCGATGAGTTGTATGGATAGAACTATTATATGTGTACAAATGCATGTAGACAAAATTTTTAGGTTAAATAATGTTAAAATACATTATTATTCATTAGGAAGATTACTGAGATACAGCATAACAAACTTAATGATTACAGCTGAGTTATGTATTGTAGGCAATAAATAATATGTGAAATCAGTGTACACAACAGCACCATGTAGCTCAGCATTTCCTATCGTTAATGTAACCGTATCCTATAGTGTTGTCCAGAATGATAACGGCAATTTTGCAATAAAACTACTAACAAATATGTTGCAAATAAATATTGCTTTTTCTGTACTCAGCAAAATCTTTAATGCCATGTTTGTCAATGCAACACTCAATGGACATCTTCATTTTACGCGTCCCAAGATCACTACCAATCATTCTATAACTAAACATTGCTGTGAGTTAATACAACATAACCCTCTTTAGATGTACAGCTCTCAGTAAATAAGGTGATTATGTTAATTACTCAATGGAAATATGTGTAAACCCATCTACACCGAAGCTTCGATTCCACTACATAAATCCTTATTAATATTAGTATTCTTTCTATTATATCTTGAAATCAGAAGAGATAAAACCAAACTCCGTATATAACGTTCAAAGTCTTAGTGGTCATTTTCTGATTTACTTAGAACCGTACAAATCAACAGTATGTCCGAACAGATCTATGTTGTGATAAACTTTTCATATCACAATATGCAATCCTTTAATGAATAGACTAGTATGTCCAGAAGAGAAAAAAAGAAATAATTTACAAGCTAGCTGACCTATTTAATACAATAACAAATTCTAAATCAAAATCTTTCAGTTCACCTTAAAAATGGCAACGTATCCATTTATGATGCTAACTACAAGAACTATGCTATGTGAACTTAAACACATAAAATTATGAAGTACAATAATAATTATTTAATTAATTTATTTCTATATATAGACCAGTTTATAAAATTCGAAGACCAACTCAACATTAGTAACAATACAAACTATTCAACGAATTGAATGAACAATCAAGATATTGAAGACGAGTCCATCTTTATGTTTGCATGCTCGACTTCGGTTAAAATATTGATTATATAAATAAACTAGACTTTTTGTACGAATTTAAATTTTACTTTGGGTAGCAAATCTTCAAATAATATATTTCCTGTTTCTACAGCTATTTTGGACAGTTTTCCGAAATTTTACATATTTCGCTGCTTAGATCGATTGCGAATATTAGTATAAAGATCAAGTGCTTACTAACATTTCGGGTTGGACCTGATGAATTTTTTAATCAATATATAAATCTCCAAAGCTAAGATAATCGGTACTGGGAATTAAATGTCATTTATTCACGATTATACTTCATAATAATCGGCTAATTGCGTAAGCCTTATTATAATGGGCATCCAATTTTAGAAAATTAACACCAATGAAATAAAACGGTTTATGCAGATTTGACAAAATATAGTCCCAGATAAGCAGATTACGATTGCATGTCAAATAATCAGGCCACTTCTCGGATAGCATCTTTTCATCCCACTGTGTTCTGATAAAAAAACATGAGAACTGACTAAAACAACACGTCTACCATTATTTATTTGATCATTAGTACTAAGGGGCACCAAAATGAACACGCGCCATACAAACAATTGAATTTGTGTGGGCTGAGATACCGTCCGGGGTGATCTTATTAGGACACTACCCGAGCCTTTGACCTAAAGGTATAATCCACAGGGCGGTGGAGCAACGTTAGGAGATGCAGTCCCACGGTAGCCGATGACCAACAATAGATTCATACGCCATTTGTTTCCTCGGAATCCTGGAGCCAATGTACACCATTGGTTTGGAACCTGGTTTTTCCGGTTCCTCTAGGCGAATGCACCGTACTAACCGAGGTTAAGCTCCAGATGATCGCTTTTCATCCTTCCAATTTTATAAACACTGATGCCATGATACGGAAGTGAGTGGGACTTTTCTGGCCGTGACTTTGTATATGTGTCCGTTTGAGAGCATTTACAGAGGAAGAGTGGACTAACCACACTCTCAGCCGTACCAGCTAATAATAATTCTTTTTTCTGAAACTACAACAGTGCATCAATATAGTCAATTCGCATCGATTTCTAGCATAAACTGTAAAGCTGTGTTTCATAACGACTACTAGTTGAACAACGAAGGCTGATGTATAACACTGGTATCAACTGTTAGCAATATAACTTCGTTTCAGATTACACCATAGTGAAATTATTTCGAAATATGTTGTACTTTAATCGAGTATATACTTCAGCTCGTATATAAAATATCACGAGTTGCAAAAGTTTAAAATGAGAGACGATAGCACTTAATCAAACAAATAGAAACTAATTTGTATTGAAAAGTAACAAATGATCGTTAAAGTACATACAGGAATTAGTGAAAGATGAAGAGCTTCCAAAATGCATGTATTTCGCTCGTGATTCGGTCAAACTTTGTAAATTGATAACTTAGTAATTTCATATTTAAACTTGAATAAACATAAAACACTTTCTGGGAAAAAAAGACTAATTTCCGTTGAACATAAACAGTTCTTTCGCGATATTCTTAAACATTTATGAATAAGTGATATGAATAGATTAAAAGCCTCAAGATCAAGAACACAATGAAACGTTTCATCAAAACTGAATGAACGCTATTATTAGCACTATTATATTTGATCAAACTTCATTACCTATACCTGTCACAAGCCACGTAGAACTGCACTTTAAATGAATGAACAAAACATCAATTTTTGTGAACTTTTACTTAACAGTCAACATTCAACCAGCTGTGGTTGATAATATATAATATTGATGGAAATTTCATAAGACTGAAGTACATTGATAATAATAAGGCTAAAATTATTGTTAAACAATCACCATCCGTTCCACCAAAAAAAATAGGAAATCACAGTATTTGGCGATATAATAACCAGTGAATCAATATACTGAAACTAGAACAAATAATTCGTATGCATGTTCTTGTGAAATGTTACAGATTACGTAAGATTACAAGATTAAAGAGTATATATATATATATATATATATATATATATATATGTAGAGAGAGAGATGAGACAATTTCCGTTCACAAACACACAAAAAGAAACTAAGTACCATTACTAAACATTTACAGTCAACATTCATTCATCTGAAACTAAGTATCCAATATGTATATATACAAGTGGGACAGACTAAATAATCCATAAATTAAATAAAAGTTCTGACTCTAAATTTACATGTGCAAAAAAATAGAGAAAACAAGATCACACAAACTAATTACTGTAGTTTAGAATGAGCAAATTTAAGGGAATGCTGTGCAAGGATTAAGCAATACGAACTAACACCAGACAAATATAAATAAAGATAAAGATAAGAAGAAACCAACCAGACTAAAAAAAATTAGTAAGACAGAGGTAGAGAAATATATATATATAATGACTACGTGAGTGGAAGCAATAATTGTGTGATGGTATGGAAAAAACCACAACTTTTATAGAGCTACATACCAGAGAAAAATATCTGTATCCAAAGATGACTCGTTTTAATGATAATAAACGCATATGCAACTCTATCTCCGTATGTGTACGTAGGAAGTGATCTCTTGAAATTATTAAACAGCACCCGACGAATGTTCAACAAAATCACGGCAACCAGTATTCCAACTGCCAGATAGCACTCTCTGAGAATGCTGGTATGTCTCATTACAATGATCAGGCATATTAGTTTGGCAGACAGTAGGAATTCCAGTGATAAGACTATGTTGAAGTTGTTGTTGAGTTTGTTGTTGCAATTGTTGTTGTTGTAACTGAAAAAACATTAAATTATGATAGGCTGCAGCGGCCGCATGAGCAGCCGATAATTGGTTATTTGATTGTACAACATGCTGATCATCCCTTGTAATGGATAACTGAGGATTTTTACGTACACTTCTACGATTAGATATATATTCTATTGGTTGCTGAGTATTATATGGAAATATATCATTAGTGAAATGATTACATAACTTTTGAGGAATGGAATTAGTATTCACCGACTGTTGATGGAAAGGTGACGTAAATACAAACAAACTTGGATTTGATCCCCAGACAACAGACTCTCGACTAGGTGGTATATAGTTGACAGGTGATGATATAGGTCGACTGGAGGAATGTAAATGACTTGAATCCTCTTGTTTTATCATCGGTTGAACGCGACCAACTGGTACTAAAATTAAAATGATCGAAAGAATAAGTAATTTAATCTACTACATAAAAATCACAAAATATTATATTATATATTTGAGTACTGATTCGTAAGCAGAATCTTTTACGTGAAAGGGAGAGTGACTCTATTTACTTGTACAATTTGAACATACATTTTTGTTTTAGCTTTTACGATGTCTACACTTACAACTCTTTAAATAAAGTGGTGTCTCAAGAAATCTAAGTCAGTGACTACCTGATTGCGACCAGAGACAACAACCAGTCATCGAAGCACAATTACAATATCACAGTTAGGAAGAGATTAGCTACATTATTTGTATTTGATATAACTTTGTTAGATAGAATTTGGAAAGATAAATATAACAGTGGACTGATAGCTGTCGAAATCCAAAACGAATTCAGTGTGAGAGGAAAATGAATGTATGAATCTGTATTGTTTATAAAAGTTCCGTAAATAAGTGCTTAATTTATTACGTAGATAGTAATTATTATGACAACAGTTTTCCAACCATAACGTTTAGTCTGTCAAAAAATGGATGTATCTGTCCCACAACAGTGATTATTAACTATATCACAGTCACTTCAATCAATAACCCCAGTTAATGAGTGGATCCCAATTACGCAATCTACACTCACCCACTATTAGCTTTCGAACAGCATTTCGTGCCATGAGAAGTGATTGTCAGATATATATAACGTATGATCTAAGGATTAGTTGAAGGTCTAAAAGTGGCAGAAATAACGTACACTTTTTCAAGACATATAAAACTGCATTTTGTCAACGTTTTCCTCATTGAACAGGACATGTTTTACGTCATATAATTCAGAAAGGTAGGTGAAGAAATTGTAATTTCTATTAAGATATTTAACAGAAAAATAAATAAGAATGAGAATGGTAGGTTCGGGTAAATAGCCTTCAGAAGGTTTACGTACTTCTCGGTACATCCTCCAGAGAAAAACATCGCCGCAACACAACTCGGTCAACTTGGTCGAATGAAGCCTTCACTTCAAGAGATATTACGGTCGACCGTCGTCATGCATATTTGTTCTAAAACATGCCCAAGGGTGAAGATTTGTTCAATATCTTTGGTCAGGTCTAAAATTACATTGTTTATCCCGGGTTTGCTGTAGCCCAGCCCCATTTAGAATATTTAAACTCTGGCGGTTAATATTTTAAACACTGTATTGATCAGGCTGATTACTTTATAGCTGTCACAAAAGTGAGTAAATCACGATTGCAATTTTTTTCGGAATAAGATCAATATCAGACGACTTTTTAATAAATATTCCTTAGACGAGACTGGAAATTTCCCCAGTATTCATTATGGAGGTGGGTTTTTCATTTTCCACCATTGCTCACAACAATTTAGTAAACTTTTTGCTAGCATACGTCTAAACTTAGATTCAGATAGTTGTTGGAACAATATCACTACATAATTTTTTGGATAGATATAAAAACCAAAAACGATACCAGTGCCTACGCTAACAATCCACTAACTGGCGAGAGGTAAACAATGGATTACATCTATTAAGTGAAAACTATATTGAAACCGAAATTCATGAACCAAAACAAAAAGTGGATGCCTAGTTAACTTATGGTGTACGAAAAGTTGTAAGGATAAGGTAAGTCTACTCGCATCGAAATTACGATACGCCTGAGTAGGGCTCTGGGATTCACGTAACAAAGTCAGTAAGAACGTATAGATTTAGTTAACTATTATTATTAGAAATCTTATTCATAGTTTGAATGTGATTATAAGACTACACGTATTCACATCAAGATATTAGAAATAACAATGAAAATGAACCTACTTTTTTTATCGGAACGCTGTTGGCACATCAAATCGAAGGTTGACTTGTACGCCCTAAGATAAGTTACAAAATATATTCCCAAAATAATTTACAAATTTAAACAAATTAAAGAAGTTAATTACTTGTAACAGTAATTAATTTATGGTATACGTGAAGTGATGATCAGACAGCTAAAACAGACATCTTTCACCTCATTTTTGGACGCCATTTTACTTCGATTTTGCATTATTTTAGGAGTACTTTTAATGTGCATAAGTCGTAGTCTGAAGAACTTTACACAAAGCTGTAAATTGGCTGCCGAATTATTATTAATCTTATTCATGAAATAAATGATAGGAAGAACTAAGCATAACTAGAGACATCAGTGACGATGAGTATATTACCATTTCGAACCGTTAAAAAACAAATAATTTCAGTTGAATACACGAAACCATTAGCAACACAAAAGCTGGTAAGTGTGTAATACGTTTTGCTGGTTGAGAAAAGCCTGGATGTAATGTTTCCTAATACAAACATAGCGCCTCTTAGTTATGATTCAAACACTTGGATACAACAATAACCCTTTCTTTATTAGCCTGGGCTATTCAAAAGATAATTTTGTAAGATAATAGTAATTGGTAGATACCAAAAATGTGATTAATCCAAGCTAACAAATGCGCAGAAATCTTGAAAACGAGTTAGAAGCTTATTAATAGGAAAATGACAATTTCAATTACCAAAAAAAAGTTTAAACTTGCAAAGCTATCGTAAAAAACAGTTAGTAAGTAGGTATCGATACCACGGTTAGACTTCATAGTTTCAAAAAAATTGAGCATTGATTAGAGTTAATAATGAATATATTTTTGTTACATCCCAATGAGTATGAAAGTTGTATTTCCGACGTTTCGTGACTTAATGTAAGCCACTTTTCAGAGTAAATAAACAACAGAAATTCGGTTATTTATGGCGACATATACGTAGTTTTCCTACTTCAAACTTGTCTTTCCAATTTATTTATTTATTTATTTGAACACATAAATATTGGTACAAGAATGCACTTTTTTATGAAGAAAGTAAAAGAAGGTTACAGCAGGATCGCCACTGGCTTCTATTCTGAGCCATATCTGATAACGTATCTAGCCACTGTGTAGCACCATCTCTCGGACCCCAACCAGGGAGCCGTGAGGGACCGACACAAGCCAGTCCTTTGCAGCTTTCTTTCATACCACGACCCCATGTCATACAATGACCACCTCTCCGCTTCTTCCAACCAGTCCCAGAGTCGGCAAATAATCCACGACGTGGAATTCTCTGGGACGACATTCGGAGAACATGTCTAAGCCACCGAAGTCGGTGTTTCAAGATGGTCACACCAATTGCATTATCGTCTCTGTGCCCGAACACACGATCCCGAACCTCTGCATTACTAACATGGTGTTGCCACTGAATGTCAGCAATCCTTCGGAGACAACGATGATCAAACACAGGGAGTCGTCTAACAACCTCAACTCGGAGAGGCCAGGTTTCACAAGCATAGAGCAAAACTGCTCTCACCGACGCGTTGTAAATCTGACCTTTTACAGCCAGACTAACATCACGAAGGTGCCAAAAGTGGCCCAGATTGGCATAAGCCGCTCTGGCTTTCACTATTCGTGCATTGATCTCATCACTCACACCACCACCAGCACTTATTCAGCTACCCAGATATACGAACTTCTCGACTACTTCTATCTGCTCACCATCCAGGGTGAGTACAGGATAAGAATCCTGCCAGTCTTGTAGAAGTACTTTGCACTTCGAAGGTGCAAAGCACATACCATATCTACGGACACTGATTGCCAACTGATTAAATGCGGATTGCATGGCTTGGGCATTATCGCACAGTAAGACAATATCGTACGTGCACTCAAGGTCGAAAAGTCTTTCTCCAGGCAACAGATCCACACCACCATTACTTATATCCATCAGAGCTGTTTCCAGAATGTCATCGATGGCAAAGTTGAAGAGGAATGGTGAGATTGAGCAACCCTGTCTAACCCCACTGCTTGAATGGAACTATGGAGAGAAGTGGTTGTATGCCCTCACTCCGCCTGAGGTGTTTATATATGGGCTTTTTAAGATGTTAATAAACTTCCCAGAAACACCCTTCTTCAAAAGACAATCCCAAAGAACAGTCCTATCCAACGAATCAAAGGCAGCCCTGATGTCATTAAACACTACTATTATTTACCTGTAATAAGTATGACGGTGTTCCAACATTTGGTGGAGGGTGAAGATATGATCAATACATCCTCGACCATAAAGAAAACCAGCCTGCTCCTCGTGAGTCAATCTTTCTCGGGTTTTGAACAACCTTCGAAGTATGACGGAAGCCAGTAGCTTGGAAGCAATCGGAAGTAGACTTACCCCCTGAGAATGTTACGGAAGCGACGTGAATTCTTTTTAAAGATAGGGACAACTATCGACTCATCCCATTATGTTGGAACACTCTCTAACTCACAAACCTTTGTAAACAACGTCGTTAGTTCCTTAGTCAGAAAGTCACCACCATCTTTAAAAAGAGTAAATCATCTGGGCCAGTCTTTTCAATAACACACTACTGACTTTTTGTTGTCTTTTATCCAGACAAGTTAACTGGACGAAACGTTGGAATTATTTAAATTTCAATCTCTGAGATTATTATAAATATAATTTTCACATATAATGAATATTCAAAGAGATTTGTGGGACTTGGTGATCTCTATACTCGGCGCCCAAGCTTGACGAATATTCGTATAAAATCTTTTAAACATTCAAACTTACCCCGGAAATCCGCAATCCGATTTGATAGCATTAGGATTTGATATAATTTCTGAAGGACAGCTAAATGTATCATGTTGAACTAAACTATGAGAAATCCTATCTACATTCTCAGAACTAGAATTTATAGCGACAGACTGACGTTTCATGCGATTGGAGTTATACGAAGAACCTAACAAAAAGTAAAAACAAAAACATTGATGTGATAAGATTCTATGCAACACAATGCTTCAACACAAGGACCACAAAAATGTTACTAAAGACACACATACAGCAAATATGGAGACTATAGAAAGTGGTTAATTAAAGAAACAAACAGTAAACAAATATTTGGAATTTGTTGAATGATAACTACTTATCATCTGTAAACAAATTCAATTAGTTTAAAAGTAACTTCCTCAGTCAACAATATGTGACTGTATGTTTTTATTAAATCAATTGTAAAAAAATGGACGCAGAATGTGTACAAACAACTTAACAGAAAATCGGGATTTAATAATTCACTGAGGACACTTAGATTTCAGTTTTCGATGACAAAATAACACTTAAACATACTTGGAGGAAGCATTGACAAATTGACAGCATTATTTACAACTGGTTCTGAGTTGTTTGTTACTAAATTCATAGGCATGCAATCTGTATCGTTCACAAAAGGATTGTTCGGTTGGACTTGAGCAACAGAATGTTTGTGGACATCGCTATGGTTGACTATGTGAGGTTGTTGATCCTGATAATGAAATGAAGTAGAGTCCTGGCGTGACAGAGATTGTTGTGTTACCGATCCATGAACTTCATACGTTGGAGCACGCTTCAAGAAATACAATTAATAAAAGCAGTTAGATAAATATAGATTTAAGAGAAAACGCGATACCACATAAAATACAGAAAGTTAGCATTCGTAGTTATATGGAGTAAACTTACAGAAAAAAACTATGCTAGTAGTAGGACAACAGAAGTTAAAACTCACAAACTAAATATAGGAAAGCGAACAAAAAACCGCATAATACTCGGTCACGAACTTCAGCACTACAAAATGATATCACCACCAAACATCAACAATCATTTGGAGAAAACGATGGTCAAACCCAGAATGTCGTAAAAAACCTTCGACCCGTATATGGAATTTCACAAGCATACAAAAAATTGCTCTCACCGGCATGTTGTAAATCCAACAACTTCACCCAGACTTACATCACGACAGTGCCAAGATAGACAGTAGCATAAATCGCTCCGAATTTCACTATACATGAACTGGTCTCATAACTCAGGCTATTTACGGAGCTAACAAAATACAAATTTTTCAACTAATTTTAACAAGTGAGTGAACGAACAGGCTTCTCTCAGTTTTATAGAAGTACTTTGAACTCGGGTGAAAAAATATGCCATACCTACCGACACTGATTACCAACTGATGAATAAACTTCTCAAGAACATAACTTCTTAACATACAACTGCAGAGAACAATCCTGTATGAGGGATCTAAGACAGATTGATAGCAAGAAACGTAGAAATCGGTGGACTTCAATAATGATGGCTGTGTTCTAACATCTAGTCTACAGTGAAGATATGACTAATACATCCACGACCAGAAAAAAACCAGACTGCTTCTCACGAGTCAATCTTTCACGGGCTCTAAACAATTTATGAATTATGTCAGAAGTCAATTGTTTGGACGCAATTAGAAGTAGACCTATCTCTTAATAGATGTTGCACAGGCAACGTAAAACATGGGCTAAATACTCCCTGACTTTTTGAACTTATTACTATTTGACTATGGCAAAAGAAATCATGTGAGATGTCCGTCTCAAAATTTGTCTGATTTACTTTTATTTGGATAGGTTTTGCCTTGTCATTTTCATAGGATAAGTCAACAACTAATCAGTGTACTAATAAATTCCACAGGATTGACCATAATTATGATATATATGTTAAAAGTAAAACTGAGTATGTGATTGATGTATTGTGAGTTTTCTTCTGTATTTAGTTGTTTTTAACTAGCTTATTTTGTAGTGCGAAGTGTTTGAATATACTTAATGGATTATGAAGTTCCGTCTTCGTCACCTAAACATAATCGGATATATTAGCAACACCATGTAAGTATGACTATGGTGTGGCAGGTTTTGTTGCACCGCAGATCATCACTCAGCTAATCAACATGAAGCATTGTAAGGGGCACTAGATATATTCAAATCAGTGACTCAATAAATTATCACAGCTTCAAATGTTTATCGTTATCCAAATTATATGAATCTACATACAAAAATTCAGCTCATTAACACTGTGAGGGACACGAATAAGCGACAAAATTCTATTATCAATCCTTATCACGTTTAAATCTCGCAAGTCGATGAACCAACTTGTCAACCATAGAGTAATATAAACAATCATTCTTTTATTGACAATTAGTTATGTGAGATATCACAAAACCAGAAACGTTCAACTTCCGTAAATATTATGTGATCTCATACCTTGAATATGGTACTCATTTACTTTAATGCTAACCATAACTTATACATTGGTATGAGTAAAGCTGTTTTCGAAATTTCTAAATCCATCTAATACTAACATTTTTAGGAACACAGATCTACATTTAATTCAAAATGGAACAAAGTTATGAACACATAAAAAAACATGCCTAGAATAAAAGTAGCCATCTTCAAAAAGCTTATAACGAGTAATTAACTCAAAACACAATAACACTTACAGAACAATTAAGGTCCGGTCGAACTATCTCATTGATTCTCGAATTGATCAACGGACCTTTGACTAAATGTGATGGACAAGCTCCATGACACTCACTACATCTTCTGGAGACATTGTTAACAAACTCAGATCCACTGCTGCGGGTGGACTTAAATAAAGTAGAGGGATGTTTTTGATTATTGTTGAAATTTTGCTGGTGATGAGCCACAGCTAAGGCTGCAACAGCAGTTGCGGGATATTGATATAAATGTTGCTGATTTACTAAAGCACACAGAGTATCACATAAACCAGTATTCGGTTTACACGTCACATCAATGGACTCTTGACGAGCAGTACAAGCCCCATTACCTTTTTCTCGACCTACAATATCCAGCATAAATGAATTGTCACCTTCAGATAACCTGCTGAGTTCAGGTTGAATATAAACAGAGTGGAGAGGATGGTGTAGCATTTGTCGGATATGGTTTGTTTGCGAAGAGTTTGTCGAGACACAACTCAGTGGCTGCACTCTTGGAGCTGGAATGGAGCTACTAATTAAAAATGGTGATGGCGCAGGTGCGGTGACAGCATTTAGTAGGGATAATGCACTACCAGCACCACCAGCAGTTACCAAGTCGTAGAACGAAAGAGAACGTTGCATTGGAGAAGCATATGTTGCCGGTAAACTATCAGCAGTTACTTGACTCGGTCTCGCACAAACCTCAGATTTGTTTTGAGAAATAATTATAGTTGCAGGAGTACATTCAATGACTGGGCATACATTCCCAGATTCTGTCGCAGGAAGAGACACATGATTAGTTTCATTGATAGCATTCAGTGAAGAGTACTGATGCAAGCACGGGAAGCTGGATGAATTACTATTAGGAATTGGGATGAGCTGTGAAGTTGATTTCGCCGAAAACGCAGCCGCTGCTGCTGCTGCTGCGGCATAGTATGCAGCTCTAGCATCAGCCCGACAGTTAGATGAGTGATTGGCCTGATGATATGGGTGGCTGTTAATTTGTGTAGACAATGCAGTTCGAGTATCAATAATATTCGAAGTAACATAATGAAGAGTTTCCGGGAAAGTGCTAACAACCTTCTGTGGTAAAGACATACATTTCGAATTGGAATTAAAATCAGTTGCATGCTGCCTACGTGCGTTACTATGACAAACCTGCATCAGTGTGAGAGATTCTTGGGTTCTAAAACAGTAACAAAACAAAATTTCAAAAGATAATTTGAGTAAGATAGAAATGTAAAGTAGCACACTGAGATAGAGAGAAACAAACTATCTAAGAGTACAACTATCAGCAAATAAGTTGTCAACATCTCTATTACCTGGTTTCGACTGTGCAGATTTACAATAAACTTTCAGCAAGTCAGTCACAACGTAGAACCTGTACGTACATATATCAATTCAAGTTACTATACCACATTAGCACAGAGATGAAATTGTCAGGCCAAATGCTAAAACAGTAGGTAGCAACAATATCGGTGATAATAGCACGGATTAGGCTCCGTAGGTACGACTCAAAAAGAAAATTTAAATTAGCGAAACGAAAAAATATTATGAATTTAGAATCTCAAGATTTAAGGGAAGACAAAGATTGGATTCACCTGCGCTATTCCAAACGATTTCGAGACTTTTAATTCAAAGTCAAGCCAGGTTGTCTACACCCATTAACATGGACAAGTTTAATCATCAGAGACCTTATGGGCTGATGCCATTTTCTGATTCGGCCACACCTAGCTTTTTTCCAGCCTACTCCTTCACTAAAAGCATTGGCCGTCGAGGTAGGCGGTGGATGGACATTCGTAAAATGTCCCAACCACCTCAGTTGATGTAGATTTACTACTTCATCTATCGACTTCTCATCTTTATTTAATATTCTCTTCCTGTCCCGGACATTGCATAGTCCGTGACCCCACAATACACGAGCTAAGATTCATAAACACAAATGATCGAATACCAGTAACCTATGAATATCCTCTACTCTTCTTAATAGTTATGTTTCACATCCATAAAGTAGAACGTAGCAAACTGCTGCTCAGTAAACTCGCCCTTTGGTCGGAAGACGGATATCTCGCCTATGCCACAAGTGAAACAAGTTACCAGAAGCCAATCGAGCCTTTTGAATCCTTGCCGAGATTTAGTCAGACACCAGACTCCCAAGATAAGTGAAGTCGATGTGTACAACTCTTTCACTCCCTATCACAAACTCAGCAGATGACGCAAGCTGACCTTGAAGTAACATTTTAAATTTGGAGGAAGAGAACTGCATCGCAAATATGCTTCTACTGTTGCTTAAGGTGATCAGACGACTCAGATCTTGTCAGTGTCATCACCAAATGGAATTATGTCATCAGGGTATTCAAAGTCAACATGTCTATCTTCTGGTAGAAGATTAATCCCCAAAACGTCAGACGAAATTGTTATCTCTGGAAACATGTCTAAGACAAAGTTAAACCAAAACCGGGAACGATGATAACCCTAACGAACAACACTTGAAGTAACCAATTCGGACGACAGTTCACTATAAGCTCTAACTCGACCGGAAGAGTTCGAGTAGCAATCGCCAAAACAGGAAGACCTTAAAGGAAAATAAAAAGTTAGAAGCATTTGAACCACTGACATCAACCAATCTGTCGCTGAAGATTTACAGACACTGATTCGAATTATACTAATAATTTTACGAATTGTTGGTCAAAATGATTTCATGTAATACGTAACGGCAGCATTCTGATTCAGTGGGTTTTCCCTCAAATTGTTTCATAAATTTTGTTAATTCCAAGTTTGCTCAAGATAACCATGTGAGTAAAATGACCCAAATTACAGATGGGAAGTGAACTTCATTGCAAATATAATGTGAAAGACGAAAGTGAATATCCGAAATGCATGGTTTCTAAGAGAGATCTTGTCAACGATATGAAACGGTGGTTGAAAAACTATGTAACTATGGTGTTTGTTGATGTGTATTTATTAATCTGAACATAGACAATAATACAAGGGGAACCAAATATGCGCCAAACAACAACAATTAGGTTGCGAAGTGATAGAAAAAGGTGAGTATAATAAAAATGTTTTAAAAAATAGATAGGAATTAGTGTATAAGGCTGAAATAATAATAATATTATTATTGTGGGAGAAACAGTTCAGTTCGGAAAAATGCAACCAGAAGAAACTCTTTCAGTTAGTTACTGTCACACTTATGAAAAAAGTAAAACAAAATTACAGCAGGATCTCTGCTGGCTTCTATTCTGAGACATGTTTAATAACATCTCAAGCCATTATGTTGCACTGTCTCAAGCACTCCGACTAAAGGGTCGTGATGGACCAACAGAAGCCAGTCCTATACAACTTTCAATCATACCACGACACCATGTTATACGTTGACCACCTCTCCGCTTTTTCAAACCGATCTCAGTCAGAAAATAATACACGATGTGAAATTCTCTGGGACGACACTCATAGTAGACCAAGAGACCAAAGTCAATGTTTCAAGACAGTGAGACCAACTGAATTATCGTGGCTGTGATCGAACACACGATCCCGAACCTCTGTTGCCACCAAACGTCAGCAATCCTTCGGAGACCACGATGATCGAACACAGAGAGTCGTCTAACATCCTCAACTCGGAGAGGCCAGGTCTCACAAGCATAGAGAAAAACTGCTTTCACGATGTGTTGTAGTTCCGAACACTTACAGCCAAACTAACATCACGAACGCGCCAAAGATAGCCCAGATTGGCATAAGCATCACTGGCTCTCACTATAATTGAATCAATCTCATCACTCACGCTATCACTAGCACTTATGCAACTACCTAGACACACGAACTTCTCGAATACTTCTATCTAATCACTACCCACGGTGAGTGCAGGACCAGGGTTCTTCTAGTCTTGTAATAGTACTTTGCACTTCGAAAGTGCAGAGCCTATACCATACCTACAGACACTGACTGCCAACAGATTAAGTGTGGATTGCGTGGCTTGAGTATCATCGCACAGCAAGACAATATCGTACGTGCACTCAAGGTCGAAAAGTCTTTCTCCAAGCAACAGATCCACACCACCGTTACCTACATCCATCAGAGCTGTTTTCAAAACGTCATTGATGGCAAAGTTAGAGAGGAATGGTAAGATTAGGCTGTAGTGTCAGCTTATTCTAGCTTTCGGACAGACCAGATTATTTATTCTTCTTGAGTCACATTATGACCTTTTCAGTTATTCGCTTATCAACCTTGACTGTTTTTATATGAGCGTATGTGTGTGCACTTTTTATTCTATTCATCACATATCTGTACCTTATTTTTGTTCGACTATAAATATCAATTAACGCTTGATTATGCTGAATTGGCTTACTCGCATCCTTTTATTTTGCTTCGCTTTCCGACCACTGATCGTACGAAATATAGGTACTCAGAAACCCATTCTCGTAATTGACTTAATTCCGTTATTCACTAACGCGAGTTAAGTCGATAATTACGTGCGGGGATTGGCGACATGTATACTTTGATGGCAATCGTTCATAAGATCCAAATGGAGTCAGATATAGGGCCACTAAAAGGCAACCCTGCCTAACCTCATTGCTTGAATGGAACTATGGAGAGAAGTGGTTGCTTGAGGTGTTTATACATGGGTTTTTTAAGATGTTAATAAACTTCCCAGAAACACCCTTCTTCAAAAGACAATCCCAAAGAACAGTCCTGTACAACGAATCGAAGGCAGCCCTGATGTCATTAAACACTACTATTATTTACCTGTAATAAGTATGACGGTGTTCCAACATTTGGTGGAGGGTGAAGATATGATCAATACATCCTCGACCATACAGAAAACCAGCCTGCTCCTCGCGAGTCAATCTTTCTCGGGTTTTGAACAACCTACGAAGTATGACGGAAGCCAATAGCTTGGACGCAATCGGAAGTAGACTTATCGCCCGATAGTTGTTACAGGAACGACGTGAACCCTTTTTAAAGATAGGGACAACTATCGACTCATTCCATGACGTTGGTACACTCTCTAGTTCCCAAACCTTTGTAAACAACGTCGTCAATTCCTTAGTCAGAAAGTCACCACCATCTTTAAAAAGAGCCGGAGGTAAGTCATCTGGGCCAGGTGATTTGTAACGCTTCAAGAGTTGGAGTTCCTTGCGGACTTCCTCCTCGTTTGGTGGATCAGTCGTCAACGGCCATGGAGGGCAGGACAGTCTGACCGATGTTGCCGGAGCAGCAGGCTAGTTGAACTGCCCTTCGAAAAATTCTGCTCATCGTCCAAGACGTCGATGGATGTTAGTGATTGGCATTCCATCATCCTCGCAGATTGCTTCACTCACACTAGACTTCTTGCTGCCAGTGGCTCGGATGAGTTGGAAGAGCTTCCGGTAGTTACCAGATGCAGCTGCTGCTCCCAGCTCATTAGCACGCTCCGACCACCAGGCTTCTCGGTCCTTAAGCAAGCTTTGCCCAATTTCATTACGTAACATCCTTCGTTTGTGGTCAAACTCACGGTCACCCGGAGTAGACCGATGGGCTTCAATGAGTTGTAAGGAACCTGCAGAAACCCAGTGCTTATAAGCGGGACGTTTCGCAAACCCACAACTGACTGTACCCGCCATTTTCATGGCATCATGCAATTGCAACCAATGCTCATCTATACTTTTCGGTGGAGTGGTAGCTAGCCTAGAGGCTAGCTCGGTTCGATACTTACTTGCCACAGAAGTTGCAACCAGCTTGCTAATATCAATCCGTTGATGGCGGTCACTTTGTTGGCCACTGAAAAGTAAGGTAAGATTGGCGCAGACCAAGGCATGGTCGGAGTCCAGATAGGTACTCCAAAAGGAGCGGTAGCCTTGTGCACAACCACGCCAGCGGTAGCTGATCGCGATGTGATCAATCTGAGTCCAGGCTTGAGATGCAGAGGGAGGACGTCAGGTGGCACATCGGCGATGACTGTGCCGAAAGTTAGTGCTAGTCAGAAACAGGTTGTGGTCTGTGCAAAGTTGCAGTAGACGGTCTCCGTTATCTGACCTGCGACCAACGAGTCCCCATCGGCCACACAAACGACTCTATTCTGTGCCTAGACGCCCGACCTGAGCATTCAGGTCTCCGGCTAGTACTACAATATCTGTCGAACGCACTTTCTGGAGAAGAACAGATAACTGGTGGTAAAACTCATCCTTGATTGCATCCGGGCTGCAATCTGTCGGGGCATAGGCGGATATGACGAAAAGACATCGTTTCTCACGCCGATTTCTTCTCACTTTGATGGAACTTTCCAATCTAACAGCACATAACCGACTGTTAATGGGGATCCAATCGATTAGTGCTGCCTCAGCTATAGCGCTTAGTGCGACACCAACGCCAGCAAGACCAGACGATGTCACAGAGTTCCCGGATAAACGAACGTAAAACAAGCTTTCCGAAGCGACAGATGGAGAGCGAATTCGTAGTACTCTAATAGTTTTGAATACGGGTCTTGAATAGGCAATAGACGTCGATATTAAGACTTTCTAGACATAGCTAACCCTATCTGCATTAATATGCGAATGTTGAGGGAGGACAGTTTGAATGATATACGTGGTTTTAGAAAGACTGGTTTAGTATTCGTAGTTGGTGGTAGCATTCAACTTCTGACTAGTCAGTGACTTAAGATCGTTTAGATAGAACTGAATCTCCATCATAGGCGAGAGGCTGCATAAGTTGGGAAATAAAATACACAAAATGAGAATAAAAGGTAGTAGATAAGTGATGTACAAAAGAAACAAGTTATCAAACGATTGTATGATATGTCTGAAAGTTGAAGCAAGAGTAATTTTTCCAGTAGTAATTATCATTTGATTGGTGTTTACCGAAGCCAATAGTACAGATCGATTAACTTACATCCTTACAAATAGTTTATGTTATTGAAAAGATTCAAACACAAATGCTTGTACAAAGTAAAATATACTTGTGACAACTACTACTGTTACAATAAACAGAATACAAACTTACCGTTTAGCGAAAGGCTGACAGTGAAGGTGAGTCATAGTTACGAACGAATGTTGAAGGGCCACATCAGGTGTTATTCGATCACATGGACGCATTTTTAGCATCTCCGTTAAAAGATAGGTAAATTGCTGGCGATCGACGATATCAAGGTCTAATTCATCAGACGCAGAATGTCCATTTACATCACGGATTTGATTTAGAGAATTGAAGAAATATTTCCTAGCCTCTTTAGCTTGCTGACCAGTTTCAGAAGCATATTCTTCCGGAGTCTTTAACCGCCAATCACATCGATAATGATCACGTACAAAAAATGTGTTGCATTTTCCAGCATTTTTTAACATATCAGAAGGGGGTAAACCTTGGGTTTCTACTATGTATCTCATCTAAATTTGGAAACGTCAAAGTAAATCAAAGAAATTAGTGGTGATATTATACTACTATAAAAGTACTTCATTTGTTATTACAAAATGTATGAGAAAATAGATATCAATTTTACTGTTGAGTCTAACTCAACACTCCCAAGCAAAAACAGCATCTAAAATACTAGTCTCAATAATTATCGGGCACCTAACAAAGACTCATGAACTCCAAACACGAGTAAATCAGGCTAGCTTCAGACTTGGCCGTGGATGCATCGACCACATATTCACTATCGTCAGGTCCTAGAACTGAGGCATGTTTATCGGCGTCCGACAATGGTGATCTTTCTTGACTTAAAAGCGACACTTAACTTTGTAGACCGAGAGGTTCTGTGGCAATGTCTATCATTGAAAGGTGAACCTCAGAAGTACATAACCGTTGTGAAGGTTCTTTACTCCAACACTACCAGTCGATTCAGAGCTTATGGCGAACGTTCGTTTGATTTTGCAACCTCAAGTGGTGTCCGGCAAAACTGTCCACTATTTGTTTAATTTCATCATAAACCTACTGCTGGAAATAACGTTCTCTTCGTCTAGATTTTCAGGAATCCATCTCCTATCAGGAGACCCACTTATCAACTTAGAATACGCAGATGACACAGTCCTGTTGATGGAAACGCAGTGTCTTGGTAGCACTGAACAACACTGGGATGTTAGGGATGCGTCCCACCCCTAAATGCAAGTTGTCACTTCAGGATTGGCCTGCGTCAACACCTGAACTAAGGATAGGGAGTGAAGTAGTCGAACGCGTCGACAACCTCAATTATCTTGAAGTCTGATCAGCCCTAATCGGTTGGTGTCTGATGAAATTTCTGCATGGATTCAGAAAGCTCGTTTGGCTTTTGCCAACTTACGTCCCTTATGGCGAAGGCGAGATATCCGTCTATCAATTAAGGGACGAGTATACTGTCCAGCAGTTCGTTCTGTACTACTTTACGTCTGCGAAACGTGGCCATTGAGAGTAGAAGATACCCGTAAGCTACTAGTATTTGACCACAGATGTCTTAGAAATATTGCTCGTACGTGCTGGGATCAAGGGGTAAATAACAGTGAGGTTAGACGCAGGGTATTAGGGAATGATGATAAATCAGTTGATGAGGTTGTAGATCTTCATCAACTGAGATGGTTGGACAACGTATTACGCATGCCAAACCACCGATTACCACGACACGCAATGCTGACTAATGTTGGAGACGGATGGAAAAAGTTAGACGGCCAAGCCAAAACTTGGCATTATTCCATAAAGTCACTAACTTTTAGTCTGAGCCATGTTGGTAGATACAGACTACTTGGTTGTGGTCCGTGTGACTATCGTATCTAATGGTTGAAGACTAGATGGCATGGCTCAGAATCGATCACAATGGCGTAGGTGTATGCACACTGTCTTCCCTTAAACTGCGAGATCAAACTTACTTTATACCTTTCTTTCTACGAACTAATTCTTTCTTCCTGTATTACATCCTTTTTATATATTACTATCATTGAGGTAACTACTTCTATGAATCTGGTGTTCATCTTGTTATG